TTCCCTAAATAGTGGATGGTAACTTTCTATAGTCTACTGGTTTTGTTTCTCTGAAGAACTTTGATTACTACACCTGATGTTTGGAAAAACGGAACAATCGCCTGCCATGATCTAGCCTGGGAAGTCACATGGCACCATTTTCATAGTCCTCTGTTGGCCAAGGCTGCCATAAAGCTCTGCCAGGTTAACAAATGTAAAATTCTCTGCTCCTTCCTTGGCAGAGGTAAAAAGAACATGAGGGGTAAGAACTAGTGCTACAGCCATTTCTGGAAAATATAATATGCTACAGTGATGAGATGGTGACCTGGTCCACAGCCACTAGCTGTGCCGTCGACCACAGACACTGGTCACAGCCACACCTGCGTCCGGTGAAGGACGCAGGGTTGTGTCAGTTTGGGACAATGTCGGCTGGGGCCAGAGCCAGTACTTGTGTGCGGGTCTTTCACTTACCTCACTTGCACATGAAGACATAGGCTATGAGCTTGGTTCTCTGCCTCCTTAACTCAAAGACACAAAGCTGCCTTGCTGAGTTTTTTCAGAGGAGCCTAACTGATGCAGCTACACAGCGAACCTAGTAGCCAAGGGACTCCACATTGGCAGCTCTGAATATCCTAGGCCATGTTGTTTGGGGATGAGGAAAAAGATGACTGTCATGTCGTGACTTGCACTTCCCCCGAGCACAGGCTATCTCAACCACAGCCTTATCCACATTTTCGACTGGATGATTCTCTGCTGAGGGGGCTGGCCTGTGCACTGCATCATGTCGAGCAGCACTCCTGGCCTCTACTGACTTGATCCCCCTATTGGAGAAAAAGATAACCTTTCAATGACACTTGCTAAAGATGGTAAGGTGGGCCAGCCCACAACATGCTGGCGAAGGCAGCTGTACCACACACGGCTGACTATGCAGTTTGAGCCCTGGACCTGGCAGCTTGCAAGACATGCTTGTGTGTGTGTGCTTGGAAGAGACACTTGTGTGTGTGTGTGTGTGTGTGTGTGTGTGTGCGCACGCGCATGCCCAAAATCCTGAAAGGAGAAGAGATTGTGGTATGACCATTCACCATGGGGTGGGAATTGAATACACACCCTCTGGCAAAACTAAAAAAAAAGAAAGTGAGAGAGAAAATATGGTAAGGTAGACTTTGTTCATCATGATATAGATACAGGGGGCTACATTGTTTGGTAGTACGAGAGAAAGCCCTCGCTCTTACAGTATAGGAGTGGGGTGGGGGCCAGTGGAAGGACAGTGACTAGAGGAAACAGGCAGAATAAGGAGATTCTGGCTAAACCCACCTAATAGTATTCTTGCTGAAGACAGGACAGGGTGACCAGATACCTGGAGATGGTAAGTGTCTAGTCTACATCCATTCGGGCTGCTACAACAAAACATCTTAAACTGGGTAATGCATAAACAACAGAAATTTATTGCTCACAGTTATGGAGGCTGGGAGGTTCAAGACCAAGTTACCAGCAAATCTGTTGCTTGGTGAGGCCCCATTTGTCATAGAGGGGGCTTCTGACATGGCAAAAGGGGGAAAGAGCTCTCTTGAGACTCTTTTTAACATTTCTTTCTTTGATTTGTCAGAGGTATGTGCTCAATGGAGGTAGTGGGGAGAAAGTGAGAGAGCAACCCCCCCCCCCATGGGGCATAGTCATGTTGTAATCCCATTTCCTCCTTCTCTCCCTTCTTTTGGGCACACACATGCACCTGGTGTGTCTTTCAAGTTGCTGGGTTGGGGACTCCAACAATGCAGTTGGCCATGTGGCATCCAGTCGTCCTCATCACCACACAACCAGCTGTCAAGACTTCCAATAAGGGGCCTTGTCCACCTACAGGGGCAGAATCCTCGTGATATAATCACCTCTCAAAGATTGCACCACTTACCCACATTGCACATTCCATTTCAACACATTGGTTTTGGAGGAACACCAACATTCAGCCCATAGCAGTGTGGGATGAGGACCCTAATCAGATATTAAGGGTGGAGGAGTCTGACCAAACTGAGTCAGCAGGATTCTTGCTAAAATTGGACAATACAGAGGTGAACACAGACATCCCAAGGCCAGGGCCTAGTTGAAAAGAAGCTCAGAGGAACCTGGGTTTGGTCAGGGAAGGATATTTGTCACACACATACAACCCAGTTGTGACAACCAAAGATGCAAGAATGTCTCCGGTATTGCCAAATATCCCCCAGGGGCCCAAATCACCCCTAGATGAGAACCACTGCCCCAGAGAATCTCTGAGTTCCTTAACCCTTTGCAGCATCAATGGCATGTCTCCTGGGGTGATGATGGGGACAGAGCTCACAGCCACCATTCCCCAGAGGCACCTTTTGAGGGTCCAGGTGCAAGGACATGACCTCCTTTGTAATTCATAGGGTATGGCTGCAGGCCCTTCAAGAGAGGAATTTGAGCACTCTGAACTCCACCGCTGAGTCACTGGTGGCCTTCAGCAAGTGATTCTGTCATTTCAGGGTCTTGGATGTCCAACCTGAAAAATGGGAACAAGTCTTCCAATGTGCCCATGTAACCAGCAAAGTATAGCTATCAGGTCGGAGTGGTGGGCTGCTGGCTCCAACAGGTCCTACCTAGTGGGCACATTTGGAACACCTGCTCCTGTGATCAGTGGAAAGTGACAGGAGCCTCACCTGGGAAGGCACTTTGTAAATTAGGATAACTGTGGCCCCAGTGAATGTACCCTGGGCTGGGGTGAATGGTGAGGGGAAGAAAATATTTTCTTCAGGAATCTTGACCCAATTGTTCTCAAACTGTGAATGAAAATCAACTTTTATTACTTAATAATGAATATATATATAATAGCACAATAATAATGGCAGACTTTTCATTTGAGAATACTTTGTAGTTTATAAAGAACTTCTCTCTCTCTCTCTCCTTTTTTATTTTTTTTGAGAGGTTATTCGCTATAGGGCGCGTGCGCTCACCAGACAGAGAGAGACATAGAGACAGAAAGTGAGAAATCATCCCCCAGGGGGGATGGTCACGCCGCAATCCCTTCTCCTCCATTCTCCTCTCGGGATCTTGGGCACGCACACACACGTACCCGGCATGAGTTTGAAGCCACCAGGTCCAGGACGCGAACCATGGTTGACTATGTGGGAGTCCAGTGACATAGCCATTATGCTAACTGCTGGTTCCCAGAACTTCTCTCTCTTTAATGATCAAATCTCTACTATTTCCATTTTAATTCTATTCTTGCTTTTATTGCCAGAGGGAACATGCACTTCTCTGATAGACAGAGACAGAGACAGAGACAGCATGCCCTAGTGGGGCATGGTCTTACCACAGTCCTTTCTCCTCCATTTGTCCATCCCATCAGGATTTGGGACATATATGCACACATGCTTGACAAGCTTTTCAAGTCACCAGGGCCAGAATTCAAACCATGATCAGCCATGTAGGATCTGGCTCTCTTGAACTGAGGTACAGGGACAGTCTGATCCTATTTCCATTTTAGAGATGACAAACAGACTCCGAGGTAGTAGCCAGCTCACCCACGGCCACCCAGCTGGTCAATAACAGAGGAGCGTTTGGAAGCCATTTTTTTTAGGACAGATTTTTGCTATAGGGCACATGCGTTCACCAGACAGAAAGACAGAAAGTGAGAAATCATCACCCAGCAAGGGATGGCCATGCCACAATCCTTTCTCCATCCTCCTTTCAGGACTTTGGGCATACACACACAGGTGCCTGGCATGAGTTTCAATCTGTCAGGTCTGGCACTCGAACCGCTGTCAACCATGTGGGAGTCCAGTGCCTTAACCACTATGCCACCTGCTGGCCCTGGAAGCCAAATTCTGCCTCTTCCCTTTCAAGGGCCTTCTTTTTTCCCTCCCAGATTTGAAATGCCTCTTTCCTCTCTTCTACAGAGTATTTTTACAACCACTCCTTTCCAAGCTGAAACTGGCAGCTTCCTTTACCCTGGAAGCCAGTGGGGACAAAACAGAGTGGGAACAGGGAACCAGCAGTTAGCATAATGGCTATGTCGCTGGACTCCCACGTAGTCGACTGCGGTTCGTGTCCCGGACCTGGTGGCTTAAAAACTCACGCCGGGCGCGTGTGCGTGCGTGCCCAAGATCCCGAGAGGAGAATGGAGGAGAAGGGATTGCGGCGTGACCATCCCCCATGGGGGGTGATTTCTCGCTTTCTGTCTCTATGTCTCTCTCTGTCTGTCTGGCGAGCGCACGCGCCCTACAGTGAAAATCTCTCCAAAAAAAAAAAAAAAACAAAAAAAACCCAGAGTGGGAACCGAGGTTCCCCAGCCACTGTCTAACAATTCCATCTAATCACCACTTCCAGGCAGGAGTAGCCAGCCTGCAGGGCAGAGACCAGGCTGGACACCCAGAGTCCTGGGAAGGGCCTTGACTTAGGTAAAATTTTCCACCAGGATGGCACTGAGAAGGTAGACACTGGAGGTGAGGTATGATCCTATCCCCGGACAGCTAGTTCCCGCAGCTCATCTTCTCCTCCTCAAGGTGAGCTGGGCAGCACTGGCCCCTGGCATGCCCTGCGAACACACTGGATGGGGGAAGGGCATAGCTGAACACTCACAGGGCTATGAGGCATGAGTTATGTATTCTGCGGTCAGCAAACATCCACCTGCATGGCTGCCCCTTTACAAGACATGGGGTGCAAATACTGGGCCCCCTTCAGCTCCTAGAGAGCCATGCTCGGCTGCCTGCGGGAGAGTTGCAACAAGATGTCCTCAAATCTGGCCAGTCTAAGGTTCAAGGTCCCCATCTTTCCTGAGACCCCAAGTTCCTGGGGAGTGTTATGGGGATCGTAAGGGGTAGAACAACTTGGGGCACACCCTCCTTCTCAGGACTAGAACTATCCCACACCTCTGCTTGTGTCCTTGTAGATTAGTTGTTCTTGGTGGCCAAGAGCATGTTTCTCTCTTCTCCCAACCTCAGCCAGTCACCTGAGTCTACCCCCATCACCCTCCCCACATCCAACTCTCTGGAAGAAGGAAGGGACATTCTGG